CACAAAGTCCTGGGCTCAACCATAGTAAACGAAGCATCGGAAAAGTCAGAATAAGACCAATACAAGAATACCCGTTTCTGTTTGATTGCTAGCGACAATTTAATCGATTGCTAATAGTAGCTCCAATCTGATTGGTGTGACCAAGGTATTTTTACAAAAAAATAACTCAAAAACGATATATATGATATCATCACATGTGAAGATATGATATCCTCACATGTGAATATAACATTTTTGGTAACAAAATTAATTAAATTTGTTGGTGTATGCTCTTAACATCTTCGGATCTTCCTCGGTCTTCTTCGGGAATCCTCGGTAATCTTCGGAGAATGTTCGGAAATGTTCGAAAAATGTTCGGAAACGTTCGTCTGGCCTTCGGAACAATTTTGGAAAATCTTCGCAAATCCTTGGAATCGTCAAAAACGTCGTCATTAGTATTATATAAGGAGGGCGTGTTCAACCTAATATCTCACTCGTTCGCTGCACTCACTCGTGAGATATAAAGTTGAACACTCGAAGAGAAATTCCATATCTGCGCGAGCCCATGAATTATTTCCTATTTAGACAAGAAAAAATTAAACTTCGGTTAACTTTTAATCCTGGGTTAACGTTAACCTGCTCAGTTCTCAACAATCCAGTCCTGATTACGATAAGGTATCCTAGTTTGAGCCCGCGATTCAATCGAAAAGACGGTATTTGGTCAGCGTTTAACTTAAAAAAGCGTGAGCCCGCAGTATAGTCACGTAATATTGGTCAGTGGACACCTTGTTTTGACAGGTGTCAATTGACCATAAAATGGATTTCCAATATCAAAGACGCACGCTGTTAACTAAGGCCGCATGCTCTATTAGCTAGGGTATGGCTCCGTCGTCGCCGTCGTCATGCGTACACGCCTACGAGCAATACCGCTAGCCATTTGACCATGACAAAAGTGATACACGGGTTTCTATGAGTATGGGCGTTGCTTGGCAGCCCTTCGGGCCAACGCTCCGCTATGAACGTATAGACAGTGTGGTCTATTGCTTAAATATTTTGGAATTTTCGCACCTCTTGTATCATTTTACACGTTGAAGACTGCAGTTAAGGTAGTGGAAAAATATTCTTAGCCAGAGAGGGTTTTAAATATCACAAATATCACTTCAGTTAGGAACAGTTAAATATAATTACTTTTTTATAGAGTGTTTTCTTGATTACCGTGATGATTCGATTTAGCGCCCTCCTTCTAATAAGCGCCCTCTTTCAGATACGCGCTCCCCTTCGAATGTGTTATTTTTAGTATGCGTCCCTATTCTGCTTCAGGAAAAATCAGCCTTGCCATGCAGGGTTAGAACGGCTCAAGGTTTTCCAACAAGCCATGAGCGCTTCAACCACGTGGATCCTTTCGACGGGATCACCGAATTGGACGTTGAAGATGCCGCAACAGAAAGCTATGCTTTTTTACATATCGATGTACCGTAGGTGACACTGTCAAAGCTATTGGCGTCGAAATAGACTAAACTTCCCTCACGTTTAGGAGATTCCTCAGAACTAAAAGTTTCCGAACAATTTTTTTGAAACTTCCCTTGAATGTTCTCTACCAAGCACTGTTTCGAAAAATACAATAAAAATGATAGGTCACCATGCTCGTTTAAGAGATATGATGGGCCAATCTTACCCCATTTATGTCTAATTACGCGACTTATTTCATCATTATACGTTAAGCTTTGCGGTAGCTGGAAGCAGAGGTTATTAAAACAATACTGAAAATCTTGATAGGCAGAAGGTCTCGGGCACTTAGAACAATGTAATATGTAATTTATGGCAAAAACACACCATTCTAAATAGCTCTAAATGACACTGACTCAAAATGTTCCTCAAGTCGTTGTTTTCGAGGTCATAATTTACATCGTCGAGTAACGATTTTGTACACTCTTTCAACGATATCCTTATTTCCTTCCGAACAATTTTTTCAAATTTTTTAACTCAAAGAGGATCATTTTCCCACCAAATTTATGTAATAAAAAATGTAGGTCACCACGCTCTTTTGAGAGACAACGAACATAAATTTCGCTATCGAGCTTAGCTTGAAGAAAATCTCTTACGTTGTGTACCTGCACGCACCCATGTGCGCGCGCTATGACGCCAAAATCGAGTGAAGTAAGGATGCGCAATGGAAAACTGAGGAATCACCTTTATTGAACATTCACTTTATATTTGTTACTGGTACATTTTCTGTTAAAATTTTGTTTTGAACATTCGYCCTCCCTTGAGGAACCAAAAGTAACTAAGYGCCCCGGGCGCTAATTTACGCTAATTTACGAATCATTACGGTATGGCGTTGCTAATTAACAATWAGACCTGTAGCCCGCAAGGGCTACGGGTCAATAGCCCATGAGGCGAAGCCGAATGGGCTATGGACCCGTGGCCCTTGMGGGCKAMGGGYCTAATTGTTTTAGTATCACCCAACTAGTCGGACAGAAAAGGTAATAATAAAGTTAGCAAATGCAAGTTGAAGAAATATTTATTTGGGAATAAATTGAAAGAAAGCGTCACGCTCGATGACTATTACTAATAGTCCCCTAGTAGCGTAGCCAATCAAAATGCAGGATTTGCATTAGTCCACTGGTTGGGTGATACTAAATAAACAATAGCCTCCATTTCGCGCGAAAATATGCTCGGATATTTGTCCGCGGACATTATTCGTTATGAGAAGTGAACAGTTTTCCTAGAGCGTAGCTCGAGGAAATCTATGAGCTTCGAGGAACAGATAATGTCCAAGGGCAAATATCCGAGCATATTTTCGCCCTAAATGGAGGCTATTGTGTTTATTATTCTTCAAATCTTTTTTGCAACGCGCGCAGTTTTGAAAATTGCGGAATATTCTCGGATATTCCCCAGTTTAGCTGGGGAATATTCGGTCACGTGACGTGTTTAGACCAAACGCGCGCGAAATTTCGTCAAGCTCAAATTTTCTCTGATTATAATATTCTGCGTCTTGCTTTGCCTTGACACATTAATTTATTCACGTGACATGTCATGTGATCACTTTGTTAAAATTTAGTAAATTAATGAATTGCTGGCGAATTTGAATTACACTGATCAAAAAATGAGCGTTTTTGAATCAAATTTTAATTATCCACCATGGTAGGTTTAGGATGATCTTCCTTCATTTCGTTTTTAGAGCATATAAATGACCAAAAATCGAATTTTGAACCTACGAAATTTTTTATGCGAAAAAGGGGACGGTCATTCCAAACGTGAGGGGATGGAAATAATTGACCTGTATCTAAAGCCCGGTTATGTTGGATGATATTATTAAATTATAGCCTTTGAGCCGACTGGCTCATAGCTGCCGGAGCTACTCTACTCTTCCTGGACGGGATGCTAGTCCATCGCAGGTCACTCCCCGCAGTTTGTTAAGCTTCCCCAACATTTCGCGGGTGCCCATTAATATTCCTGGGTGGAGAGAGGCACTGTGTCTTGCTCAAGAACACAGCACAGTGTCCCTGGCCAGGGCTCGAACCCAGAACGCTCGATCCGGAGACGAGCGCACTAACCATGAGGCCACCGCGTCTCCACTGCCATCAATTCCTCAAATAACAGCTATTTTCCGCCTAACGCCACGTGACATGCCACGTGAACTGTCAGAAGTGCCAATTCTACTTTAAAATGTTCAGAACGTTAAATCTTAACTGTGTGCTAAATTTAGTTCCATTGTTTTTTCTGTCTTAAGAAATAAGCTAATAAATTATTTTCACAAGTAAAAGTCTTTGATCCAAGCCTTGAAGTAATTAAGTGGACTGAGGAGTAAACTTACATTTTCTGCAATTTGTTCATCGCTCGGAAGCTTCTACTCTCAATGTGCTGAAGACCACATCTTTCCATATTTCTAACAAAATAATCCACGTGTTAAAAAAAAGATAGTTTGCATAAGGTTAAAGGCATATTTTCAAAATGTGTTTCCTCTACAAGACGTCACGTGCTATAAACACTGAAATCATATGATGAATTTTATTTTTATAAATTTATGGCAAGGAACAACATCTCCACAGAAAAAGAAACAAGTTAAAAAGAAATCAAAGAGTTATAAAGAACTTACAAATGAACCAGCTTGTGAAATCCAGAAAAAGTGTCTGAAGTTAAATTAGGTCCAATTGGATTTCGTGATATATCTCTGCGGAGGAAATACAGCTAGAGTAAACTTAACTTAAATCTAAGATTCAGTAGTACAATAATGGCAACTAATGCCAACCTTCGTTTGCGCTCCAAGACATTTTAAAAGTTAAAAGCTTTCTCACCACAAGCTTCCAACTATGTGTCAGTGTTGAGACCGAACTTGTGGAATATGAGAATGTGGGGAGCAGGGAAGGTGCTGTGGTGAGAG